CAGCAGCAGCAGCCTCATCCTCTACCTTCAGCTCATCCTCCGTTGTTGCAGCATCGCTCTCATCTGCAGTTTCATCTTCAGCTGTGGCTGCTTCAGAAGCATCTTCTTTAAGGCCATCTTCACTTACAACAGCAGCCTCTTTTTCTACCTCAAGCTCATCCTCAGTCTGTGTTGCGTCATTCTCGTTTGCAGTTTGATCTTCATCTAGATCTGCTGCAGAATGAATGGCAGCAGCAGTCAGTTCACCAGAGATGTTCTCTGCTGCTTCTTCTTCAGCTGCTTCAGAAGCCTCCTCCTCCACTTCATCTTCACTTTGAGCAGAAACAGACTCCTGTTCTAAAACCAGTTCGTCTTCAGTAGTTGCTTCTCCAGTTGTTTCCTTTACAGAGTCGTCATCTGAGGCTGCAGCGTCTTCATCTTCATCTGCCCCGCTAGCACAAACAGCTTCTTCTTCTTCCTCAGCCTCTTCAGCTGTGGCTGATACATCAGCCTCCTCCTCTGCTACATCTTCATCTTCAGCAGCCTCCTCCTTTACCTCTTCTTCTCTTGTGACAGAAATCTCGCTGTCTACAGTAGCATCATCTTCACCTTCTGCAGCTTCTTCTTTTTCAGACTGATCCTCAGCGGCTACATCTTTATCTTCAGCGGTGTCCTGTTTTGACTCTCCTTCTCTCTCTACAGCAGATTCATCTTCACCTTCTGCCTCTTCTGCTGGTTCCTGCTCATCATCTGTATCTGTGCCGTCCTTCTCAACATTCGTCTGTTTCAGCATCTTTTTCTGCAGCATCATCTGCACTGGAGGCATCACCCTCTTCTTTCCAGCCAGCCATCCCTTCCTGTCTTCTGCTGCTGTTTGTGTAGTAGAGGCAGCCACAAGATCATCTTCAGCTGTGGAAGCTTCAGCAGCTTCTTCCTTGGATTCTGCTCCAGCTGGTTCCTTTAACACTTCCTCAGCTGTGGCTTCATTCTTCTCCACCTGCTGCTTTGATGACAGCAGCCTCTTCTTCACCTTCAACCAGCCAATCGCTGCTTCCACATGTTTGATTCTGGATGTTGAACTTTCTGTTGCTTCTTCTTCTTGTTTCTGCAGTTGGTTGCCGGTGGCAGAAACCTCCTCAGTACTTTTGTGTTCAGTCCGGGAGGCTTTCTGACTTTCTGCACCTTCATCTTCTGTGCTGGTGTCTGCAGCGAAGTCTTCTCCCGTTTCCTCAGTCAGTTCTTTGATGGTTTCAGCTTCACTGCCTGCATCTTCTGCAGCAGAGACATCTCCAGGTCCTTGGTGTTCCTCGTCTCCCCGCACTTCATTTAAAGCTTTATCGATGACTTTTTCTACCAGTGTTTCTGCTGCTTTAGCTTCCTCGTCCTCTGCAGGGCGACACGAACACTCAGCCTCATCGACCTTCAGGTGGAAATCGGTGACAGCAGCTGCAGCAGGCGACGTGACGTTTGTCTTCAGACACGTTTGGCAGGGACAGAACTCGTCGTTGTTCTCACTGCGCTGGTCGCTGTAGGACGTTCCTGTGGCCGAATCATCGCTTTTCTCTGCGTGGGAGCTGGTGGACGGTTTGAGCATGATCTTCAGCCTCCTCCTCCTCTCCTCGGTCTGCGTGGTCGAAGCTCTGGACATGGCTTCTTTGGGAGGTCTCGGTAGGCCTGCCCGGCCTTGGATCTTCCTCAGCTCTCTGTCTATGCTGGTCTGGATTCTTCTGTGAACCTCAGCTCTGAGCTCGCTGATCATCTTGTCCAGCTGCTCGTTGTCTCCGAGGTTCCAGCGCACTTTGAACTCCTTCATAGCGTTGATATAATGCGTCATGAACTGCTTTTCTATTTTGTTCAGCAAGGTTAGAACCCAGACAGGATCCGGGTCCTGAGAGAGGGTTTTGGCGATCTGTGCTCTCTGGCTGAGCAGAAGACTCTCAGCCTCCTCCTGACCTTCAGCTTCACATTCGTCCAGAGGTTTCTGGTCGTTGCTTTCGTTTCCGGAGCTCCTGCTGGAGGACGGAGGAGTTTCAGGCAGCTGTCTTGGACTGCCGTTGCCTGGACTCGTGTCGTCTGTTGCTGGATCATCTTCAGTTTGGTTCATTCCTTCTGCTTCTCTCTCAGAAGTCCACTGAGCTTCACCTTCACAGATGTTTGGCTGGCTTCCATCTGCTCCAGTCTGAGCTGCGTCTTCGCCCTTCACTCCGTCGCTACTGTTCCCGGATCCGGTGGAGCCGCTGTTGACGTCGACACCGGAGGACGACGTGTGGTTGAAGTCGTCGTCCACGTCGTCGTTCTTGGACACGTGTTGGTGTTCTGGAGGATCGCACAGCCACAGGGACTGAAGGATTCCCATCAGCTCCTGATACCTTTCGTCCTTCTCGTTGGCGTTTTTCGGGTCGCGGTCGATGAGCTGCAGCTTCACCAGACAGTCCAGCAGGCCTCTGGCTGACGTGCTCAGCTTACGTCCATACACCGGAGAGATCTCTGGTAAACTGTTGCACCTGTCCAGCTTTGGGCTCAGAAGCACTTTCATCACCTGTATGGAGGAGCTGAAGATCTTGGAGCCTCTCTGGTTGGAGTTTTCTTCATTTGGAGCCTCGGTGCTCGTTTGGCCGTCACCATTCGGATCACTGTCCAAACCTCCGTCATTTGCGTCCTTTGAGTTGTCAGCTGCTGACTCTTTGTTTTCTTTATCCTCGGCTCTGTTGCTGTCCTCTGACGTCGGGACAGTTTTCTGACCCTCACAGTTTTCATTGAGCTCCTCCATATCATACATGTTTCCGTCCTCTGGTATTGTCTTCAGCCACTGGTTCACCACCTCGGTAGGCGACGCGTTGGGCAGACTGGACGGGACCAGATCAAAGTCACCCGTGTTCTTACCAGTGACGGTTTCTTCAGCGTCTCCGTTTGTCATGTTCTGCTGGTCCAGGTTCGGTTTGGACTCTCCAGGCGTCTCTTTCAGATCAGAGCTGGACAGAGTTTGAGACAGATCGGTTTCGTCTGAGTCTGTGTGAGAGCTGACAGGAGGCTCATTTTGTTTCTGTTGCTTTTCACTCGCAGGTGTTTCTGCAGACTTTGGTTTGTCGATACCTTCAGCAGCTGTGTCTTCGGTGTCTAGCTGAGCGAGGCAGCTGCTCTCACCTTCTGCAGAAACATTGGTTCTCTCGTCAGAACAAGCTTCAGCCTCCTCCTCTTTGGTCTCCACGTCTTCATCCGTTACCTTGGATATCTTGGACTTAACAGACAGACGTGAGTTCACAGATAAAGAACTCTTCTTCTCTTTACTTGCAGAGGACTTCTTTGAAGCCTTGGACTTTGAGGATGTTGCTGTTGGAGTTCTGCCTTCACTCTGCTCCACCGTCACATCAGGAACTTCAGACCTGTGAGACTGTGTTGATTTGGCAGACATAGGTCGTAAAGTTCTCTCTTCTGTTTCAGGAACATTGCAGGCGTTTGATGTTTTCGATTTCGCTGACTTCTCTGACTTTGCCGACGAGGCGCTCTGTGCTCTCTCAGATGCGTCCTCAGGAGCTAACAGGTCAGATTTAGCTGGTTTGGTCAACACGGCCCTGTGAGCTGCGTCCTCTTCGTCCTGCTCTGTCCTCTCAGCTGGTGTTAAGCCGGACACGTTTGACTTGAGAGTTCTTGCAGAAGTGTTTGACTTCCCTGACAGAACGCTGGAGGTTCTTCCTGTTGGACCCTCAGCTGATCTCTTTGAAGCTCTGGATTTTGCAGACACTGATGTGACATGCGATTTGGCCGACGTCGAGCTGGCCGCGCTCTCCTCGGCATCTTCTTCTTCGTTGGCGCCATTTTCAGCAGAAACCGGTGTCGCGTTTGACTTGCTTGATTGTGCAGATTTAACAGAGGTAATACTTGGACTTCCTTCACTGGGTGCATGAGAGGCCTTTGACTTGCTGGATTTGGCAGAAACATGTGACTGTGCAGTTTTGGCGGATCTGGCTGAGGCAGCTGACACAGCACTTGCTGGTCTTTGTGCAATTTCTTCTTTGTTTGCATCGTTGTCTTCTGAAGGAGCTTCATGTGTCTTTGTGGCCCTCGACGATGCAGAAATCATTGATTTGGCCGACATGTTGCTCGGTGACCTCTCCTCCTCTTCCTCCTCAGGGTTTCCACCAGAACCTTTTAAAGTCCCTGAGAGCTTTTCTGGAACATCTTCTTTAGCTGGGACGTCTGATGCTCTGGACCGACTCGATTTGACAGACGTGGCTGACTGTGTGGTTCTGACAGACGCTGCACTCTGAGCTCTCTCATCAGCTGATCTAGCTGATGTAGCTGACAGAGCATCTTCAGCACTAACGGAGGTTTGTGACTGGACAGATTTCTCAGAAACGTGAGACTGAGCTGACCTGACAGATGTGCAGCTCGCAGCTCTTTCCTCCATCGGCTCATTTTCACCTTCGGGACTCTCAAAGCTCCGTGCAGCTGAGATATCAGAATATTTGGACTTTCTGGATCTGGCAGAAACGTTGGACCTGTTGGTCTGTGTTGACAGAGAACTCACTCTGCCGTCGTTCTCTGCATCAGCGAGCTCAGTGCTGTGTTCAGACGGGACGACTGAAACTTTGGATTTCTTAGAAACATCTGACTTTACAGATTTGACTGACATGATGCTTGCAGCTCTTTCCGAATCAGGAGCTCCTTCTTCTGCAGCAGTGGACCTTTTGGACTTTGCAGACACCGTTGATTTTGCAGACACCGCGCTCTGTGGTCTGTCCCGAGCTCCCTCCTCCTCATTTCGGTCCTCTGCAGGATTAGAATCAGGAGGAACTTCAGAGACATTTGATCTTACAGACACTGTAGAAACGTGTGACTTTGGTCTGGTGATGGTTTCTCCAACGGGAACATCAGCTGAACATTTGGACCGGCTCGATGCTGCAGAAACATCCGACCTGACTGAAGAGACAGACATCGTACTGACTGATCTGCTTTCATCCTCCTCCTCTTCATTTCCATTTTCAACACTAAGGTCACAAGAAACGAACGAGGACTTTGATCTCTTTGATGCTGCTGAAACATTCGTCTTTGCTGATTTTCCTGATCT